ATCAATAAATCGTAAAGTAATTCATTATTTTAGATAATTTAAAAAAACTATTGTCAAGATCTATAAGGAAAGTAATTCATTATTTTAGTTAAAGTATATTTTATTTAATATTTAAAAAAAAATTTAAATAGATAATTTAAAAAAACTATCGTCAAAATCTATAAGAAATAGAAAATTAGCATCTGAAAATGAAAAAGAGAAAATTCAAAGCCAAGTTTATTTATTATATAGTTTCTTTTGGGAAAATTAGATAATCTTCAATTGCATAAAAAGGAGGATATTCAGCTAGAAGATTATAAATTTTCTCTAATATTTTCTCAAATTCAGAATCAACATGATTTTGAAATCTAAAAAAAAGTTTGAGTGGATAGATGATTTGGTAGCAAACTAGTTAGTTATAAAAACTAAGTATACCTACAGCTATCTGAATTACTGTCAATATGCAAACTAAAGTGAAAATACACATCAGTATCATGATATGTCACCCATACTATGTGAAAATACATGTCAAATGGTAAACATGCCACTCATAAACATTAGAATCACATATTACTACAAAGTAAATTAGATATCTACTAGAATAGGTATACCTCTTTTTACGATGTCTTATTCTTCTTTGTAATTTTCTCCTTTGACGAACGTTTTTAGATTGGCGAGAGTTGACGCGTACCATCTTTTATTAAAGTTTAGAAAATTTTGGATTCTGAAAATATAAGATATTTAAAGGATCTTGAATCAACAGCATGTTTGTGAGAAAATTTTTGTGTTTCAGGAGTGAACATGAGGAAAACAAATCTTCTGCATCAACAGAAAGGAAAATTTCTTCAATTGGAAATATCTTATCGTCAAGAATGTATTGAAAATTATTTGTGTTAGTGAAATTAGGTCTAACAAAACTATCACCAATTAAAATTCAAAGGGTTGACTGATCATGCTTATTTCACTAATAAATCTTATTTATAGATAGATAAATGATGATCAAAATAGAAAAAATCTTAGAATCATCACAAATGTAATATTCAAGCTTGATTTAGTATCTATACATTCAAAGTACAAGAAAAAAAATTTTTTGATTTACTTATCAAAGATTTTTCCTCTTGTTAAATTACTTGTATACACTTATTCTTTTTTTACATATCTTACATAAAAAGTTTCAATATTACTTGTATTAAAAAATTCAATTGGATGTATAATATTGTTATTTTAGTTATTTTTATTTTTGTTATTTTTTTTATTTTACGTAAAATTTATACATTATTTCAAATTCCTTAATAATTCCGTATATATTAGATTTCAAAAAATAATTCATTTTAAACAACATAAAAAATTTTCTTCTGTAGAAAAATAAACAAAGGACTATTAGTATCTATTAGTTGATGACAATCATCAAATAAGAAATTTGTAAAAACATGTTAAATCTTGTTTATGGATCGATAAACATAATGAAGTGAGTTAATCTATTGGACAAAAATGATGTAATAAATCTTTAGAATTATTACAAGCTTAATTTGATATCTATACATTAAAAGTACAAGAAAAAAAATTTATTTTTGGTTGAATATTGTTATTTTTTATTTTTTATTTTATGTAAAATTTATACATTATTTTAAATTCCTTAATAATTCCATATACATTAATTTTTTAAAAAATTATAAAAAAATTAATCATTATAAAACATATGGAATTTTGATATTGAATCATTAATTACATATACAAACCTTATAAAAAATGTATCATTTCCTTATTTTGATTTCTTATAGGGTAAATAATAACTACATTATATTTATTATAAAGTTTAATATATAATAACTTTTTTATTTTTTTTATTATTTAAATTGATATATTAAGAAAAACTCATTTTTTCAAATTCTCATTATAATGAATCAAAATCACTAAATTAACAGATTTGTCATATTGAGTTTTGACTATAGTTTAAAAATAGTAAAGTATAAATAATTAGTGTTTAATTTCAAACTTATTTATCAGTCTATTTACTATCTTATTTCAGAAATGTAAAACTCAGTCAAAAAAAATATAATTTAAGTATTCATGTCAATATATTAATTTTATTTAATAAGTTCTATAACTGTATTTGCATCAGCTGCAGGTATTGCATTATTTAATAAATATATGTATAAATCTCAACTTATAGGCTCTATTTAATAATTTATAATAGATATAAAATGGTCTTTTTATTTATATTCTAATTTCTAATTCAAGTTTTCTCTTTTGTGACTTTATATAATAAGATTTTATCTTTTATTTAGTATTTTATAGATTTCTTTATTTTTGAATCATATTATCTCCTTTAATCTTCCTGTACTTTTGTAGCATTGTCCTATGCTTTCTATCAATTTATCACTAAATCTTCTAAATTTGATTTCAAGGTTTCATTTTTAAAAATGGTGATTAGAAGTTGTGTTGTATGACAAAAGGGTTAATACAACATTAAATTTGGTTATTCAATCAATTAAACATTTGCTAAAGATAGAAAAAAAGATTTATATATTACTTATGATAATTGTATTTCATAAAATAAAAATAATATACAGTGGCTTACAAAAGAAATAAAGTAGAGTTGCTTGCCTTTAAAAGCTTATAGCTCATCAACCATAAATGCTAGAAATATGGTTTTGTATTTTTTTGAATCCAAAACCTAGCTAATATTCAGTAAAAATTTGAAGTACGATTATTAAGACCAATTTTGCACAATTTAGCAATCTATGTATATCAAAAATTCTTACTTAATGAAGAAAAATTTCTTTCAGTAGGCTGACTACCCAAAAACTGATACTGAATTCCAATTCTTTTCAGTGCAGCGATTCTAATAAGCTAAAATTAGTTCTAATTAGATCAGTAGATCAGCGAAAAATCAGTAAAAAAGATCGTCACGATATTATATAAAAATGCATCTAATCATATTAGCTTATTAGAATCGCCACATTGAGGAAAATCGGAATTCAGTATTGGTTTTTGGGTAGTCGGCTTACTGAAAAAAATTTTTTTACACTTAAATTTCATTAAGTAAGAATCTTTGATATAGATCACTAAATTGCACAAAATTGGTTTTAATAATCGCATTTCAAATTTTTACTGAATATTAGCTAGGTTTTAGAATTTAAAACAAATACAAAACCATATTTCTAGCATTTATGGTTGGTAAGCTATAAGCTTTTAAAGGCAAGCAACTCTACTTTATTTCTTTTGTAAGCCACTGTATTACTTTTTTTTGGTCTTAGTTATTTATATTAGGTTGGTATAATAATATTACAGTTAACTTTATAATACTAGATCATACAAAATTTATTTGCGATTTATTTTTTGAAAAAATCAAAAAACTTATCAAAATCAAAAAGTTAATACTATAGATGATGACAAAATTATTAAATAAATCATCAAAAAGTAATGAAAGACTTAGATATAATAGTTGCATTAGATGGAAATGGTTTAAATTTCAAAAAAAATTTCAAAAAAAAATTTTCTAAATTTATCTCATATAATAAAATATCATTATTTTGTTTTAGTAAAATATTACAAAATTTAGGAAAAGTTTACTGTTTAAAAAATTTTGGTGATATTGAAGTTTATCATAAACTTTTATGTAATAATAGTAATTTTATTATAAATTAAAAATTAGATCTATAGATGTTATGAATTTATTTGAAGAGAGAAAAAAATATTTGTATCAAAAAATTCATCAATATGTAGAATATCCTTATAATGAAATTTATTATCTTTAATATTTTTGTATATTCATTAAATAAAAAAAGAAGTTACTAATTTAAAGTTATAAATAAAGTAAAATTTGAACAATTTTAATTGGATTTAATTATACTTGTCTGTTGAAACTTAATAGACAACTAAGAACATGTCAAAATGCAGATATACTAAACATATTGAAATTAAAAAATTAAAAAAAATGCATTTCATCAATTATCTCAGCATTCAGTAATTGTAAAAGGATGTAACCCCATTTGACGCAGATTGATGAGATGGTTCTAATAAGTTATTTTACATTCTTCTATGATTACTAGATGCTAAGATAATTAATGAATTGAATTTATATTTTTTTATTAACATGATATTTTGGCATTTTAATTTATTAGATGAGTAATATCAAAATCTATTTTTAGATTTTATAGCTAATTGTTACATAAAACTTTAATTGTTTTTAAACACTAATTACTCATTTTGATAATAAGATAATATGCTATAAAATGTGTACTTAATAATCCTCGTATATCACAGATTATTATATATAAAAAATCTCAATTTTGATAAAATTATCTCACTATTGATATTCTAATAATTAATTAATAAATAAAATTAAACTTATAGAATCTAGCAAATGCTTGATATAGTTCATTTAGATCTGTCTATTAATCTATTTTTAATAAATTTAGCAGTATAAGTGTGTTTATTTTTGGTTTTTTCTTTTGAATTTAACATTTTTTTTTAGTTGATAAAGCTTTATGTATATTTATTATTATATTAATTTAAAGAAATATGGTTTTTATTTATTTATTATTTTTAAAGTATTTGCAATTTTGTGTAATAAAACTTTACTTTAAAAAAAGATCTTTTAAAAATGAAAAGAAAATTTCGATATTACTAACAACCCCAATTATATTGAACAATAGTGCAATTTTAAGAAAAAATATTTTTTTTTGAATCTTGTATGTATAATAAAATAAATCAACAGCATATAGTATTAAATTAATTTTTTTTTACTTTAATTTTAAAAATTCACAAGTCAGAAACTATTTTAATAATTATATAAAAAAATTAGTTTTTTAATAAATTACCTAAAAACAAATAATATCATAGTATTTTAATGACATAAAAACATAATAAGAAGAAATTACAGATAATAAAATGGAATATTCAATTATTCATTTGCAAATCTGAATATTCTATTTACCAGTTATGAAAATTTGTTTTCATAATCATTATCCATTAGAAAAATTAAAAATCTGGTGTTTCTTCTTAAGTGCTTATACTTATTTTAACTTCCAATTATAAATCTCACCTTCCATCATAACATTATAAAAATCTTTCATGTTTGTGATATTATCATTAAAATCCAGGTATACTTTAGATCCATTTAGAAATAAATTCAACCTATAATTTTTGCCTTTAAATCCTTCAGATGCTACTCTATCAGAAGTTAAATTATGATCTATCATGCTCGGTTATATTAATTATTAATATTAATGGTAATGACATTCTTTGAAAAATAAATATATATATATTAACAAATTTATATATTATAATTCAATATATTAATTATAAATAACATTTTTTTTTATAAAATAAATAGATAATATACATATGATGCATTTCTTCACTTTTGATTCTTCTTGAATTTATATGATGCAGTCACACCTCGATATAACAAAGTTACCGATTTAGCTGATCAGAACTTCATTATAAAATCTTCATTATAGTGTTAACGAATTATTCGTTATAGTAGATGATTACTGATTTCATTACACAAATATAATTTTACTATGATATAATTTTTC